CACGGGACCTACGACAGCCAAACTGGAAGTTAGCGCTTTAATCGTTTCTCGCCACATAATAGGCTGACCCCGCGCGATTTCTTTCAGCTTGGTCTTATGCGAGCGAAGAGAGCGCGTCGGGGCAGTTGTTCGCATGGCATGCGTAAAACGTGGCCCAGCCACTTCAGTTGGCGCAGTGTTACCAGTCTGACAAGTGGAAGTCCTGTGTTACCCAAGACGCGCCGTTTAACATCATCATTGCGTACGTGGTACATCTACCACACTCATGCTATTTTCGGCAGACATCCATTGTCCAAGGCCGAAATCCGACGCAAGTCATTCACACGAATCGGCCAAGACTCACTCCCATACAGCAACACTACGCGAACACAGGCATTGTAGACTCTGCCCTTTACCAGTAGTGAAACGTCGCGGCGTCGCCACAGATGCCTTAAGTTGGCGAACGCCGAACGACTTTTGGCAATGCAGAAGGAAATCTCTTTTCCAATGCTACCACTAGTAGAGACACAGCTTCCCAGGTAAACAAACTTGTCCACTTGTTCAAGCTGTGTACCTTGGAGACTGAGCACTGGAGCAGGTGGATGCCAATCCAGGACCAAGACTTTGCATTTGCTAGGGGCAAATATCATTCCATATTTTGATGCTAATCGCCAAGCGGTTTAGAACGGCTTGTGTGCTCTGTGCATCATCACCAATGCAAGGCAATATCATCAGCATAATCTAAATCGGTCACGTCGTTGCCAGGAAGAAACTCTACACCAGAACCCTGAAAGCCTTAGTGTTTAAAAAGACATCCTTGATCGCAAAATTGAAGAGAAACGGTGACATGGGGCAATCCTGTCGTGCACCGCTAGTGATGGCAAAAGGTGAAGAGAGCTTACCATTAGCCCTCACTTTACCTAAGACATTGCAATATACTGCTCGAAGGATGGCGATATACTTTTCGGGTACTCCATTCTTTTGTAAGCAACGCCATAAAGCTGGCCGATCGACGGAGTCCAAAGCGGCTCGGATGTCCAGAAAAACAGTGATAATGGGCTGGCGGTAAAGATGACGCGTTTCAAGGAGTTGGCGGAGCGTAAACAAGTGGTCTATACACCCACAACCGGGGCGGAAATGAGCCTGTTCTTCACGGGAGCGCAATTATCGAATCGGAGTTAGTCTGCGGAGTAGAATGGATGTTAACAGCCTGGTGGCAACAGACATTAGACTGACTCCTCGGTGGTTAGCGCATAGGGTACGGGCACCTTTCTTGAAGGTCGGGACGATAATTGACTCGCCCTAAGCGGATGGAACTAGTTCTTCACACCAGATCTTAGCCAACAGAGCTGATAACTGGTAGAAAATTACTTCGCCCCCGAACTTGAACAGCTCTGGATTAAGTCCATCTGGGCCAGCAGACTTGAATCGCTTCAATTATCGGAGCTCAAGCAGACCTCAGCTTCAGTGGGTAGTTCCAATGAGACGTTCCAAGGCGCGCAACTAGGTATATTCAATAGGCTCGCCTGCGAAGAAGGCCAGCTGAATTGAATACGGAAGTGTTCAGTCCAGTGGTCCGTACGCCTATGTGTTGTTTATCGGCGTTCCGTCAACCTCGCAAATGACCTCACTGACACCAGGTCTTTTGTGACCAGTAGCCCTAATGACCTGGAAGATTTTGCGAAAGTTTCCAAAGAGGGCTGCCGTTTCGATCTCTGAGGCGCGCTGAGACCACCAAGTTTCGCGATCAGCACTCAGGCTTTGCTTGATTTGTTGGCTAAGGTGACGCACTACACTGCTATTTGAATCGGTCGGGATAGTTCAGCGACCATCAAACAATTCCAGTGAGTGTGTGGAAATCCAGCCACTCAGAGGACGCCTTGTCATTCCGCAGATTGAATGACTGAAAATTAGCGTAGCTTCACGCAGGAAACTCCAATGATTTTCAATGTCTTGATGTGGAACTCCAATTAACGCATGACATAAGGAAGCTTGATAAGTTGATGGAGTAGAGAGGTCAGCGATAACTTATTGATGTCGAGGGTATAGAGCTTTCGCTTTGAGCAGCCGCCGAAGCGCATGCAGATGTCCGCGCAAACCAAAGCATGATCTGAATCGAGGTACGTATACCAAATCGACATACAACCCCGGACGCTGCCTCGCCATCTAAAGCTGATTGCAAGGTGATCTATTTGTGATCACGCTAGCGTTGGTGAAGGAGGACGCCACGTGGCTGCGCGTCTTCTGGTATGTCTAAAGTTCGTACTTGCGAGAAACAAACGGTGGTCTTCGCATAACGTAAGAAGTTTATCACCGTTGTCAGAACGGCTTTCGTCAAGCGCGTGACTGCCATCAAGATGACGTTCGCACGGAAGCAGGTGACCTACTCGTGCATTGAGATCTCCGGCAAAGACGATGAGATCTGACGTTTCTGCCTTGTTCAAAAGGTTGTGGCGTCCAAGATAAAAGTCATCCTTAACCGATGCACAGCTGCAGTCGGTTGGAGCGTAGGCAGAAATGACAAACAAATTGCGCCTCTCTTCACGTTATTTGTATTCCACATTAGCCTTGAAGCCGAATCGCACACAGCCGGCTGTCGATTGAAAACCAGTCGAGTAATGCAGCCTCCGCTTTGTCACTCAATGCGATACCGACACTAGCTAAGCCTGCTGCTGCTGCCTCCATGTCACTAGACAGACGTAGGTAATATGTGGACTCAGTAGCAGTTGGGGACGACAATTTAACTACGGTGCTGGGATCCTGTAGTCGAGTCTCTGAAACGCAACAAACATCGATAGCGAGGGATTACAGTGCGCTCCAGGCCAGGCTGTTGTCCAATCTGTAGGAGGGTCCGAACATTGCACGCTTCCAGACGAAATGAATTACAGGATCGAAGGATAGATGATGGTCGAACAATTTAGATACCAGCGAGACGGGCCTTGGAAGTAAAGTCAGCAGGTTGGAGATTATCAACAAGAGAAAAGTTGGCGTGTGTTGGAGAAGCAGGAGTAGGAGCAAAAGTAGTAGCATGAGTAAGCGACGTAGCAGTAATTACAAAATCCATGGTTTTCACAGAGGTCATGGTACTACGCGGTTGCCCAAGCCGAAGTAGGGAGTTGTCTTGGGGGACTCCACCCCGAGCCTTTGGCTTAATAGTCTATCCGCAAGGCAGCGGAGCGAAGCCAGGGTTTTACCCCCATTGGGAGCTGATGACTGATTGCTCAGTTCATACATCTTTTGTTTGGTAAGTGGCCAAACAGGGGCCCAATCTTACCCACGATTTCATCAGCAAGGTGCTGGGATACAATGCTTCACCAATGTGAAACAAGGGGCAGTGACTATATTTAATGGTGAGTCACATCCGCCACGTCGCAGTGTCGTTAAACGGGCACATGTGGCTTTAGGGAGGACGCTTGGCAGGAGAAACCCATCACTTCCTGGAACACTTCCGCCGAACCATTCGCTGGACCGAGGTAATCCCAGACCATCCAGCTGGCACCACGAGGAGGTTGTTCGGCAGGTAAGCGCTTCTCATAGTATTGTTATTAAAAGTACAATTGTGGATCTTTATAGGGAGGACACTTTCCAGGCCATAGCCCCTTGTGTCCTGAGATATTGTCACCGAGACTTTTACTGGATCTGCGCGGATGGTACCACAAATAGGTAGTTCGATAAGGCAAGGGGATAATTCAGTTTTGTTGTGGTCATCGATGGTTTTTCAACCACATGGCGATTCTATCGTCCAACTAACTCGCATCTGTTATTTCGCATTTGTCGTGGCTGGAATCGGTTCGAGCAACATTCTACTCCCACCTGTTTTCAGTCATCTATATAGCTGTTGCATGGTGGAAATCTCATTATGAGTACTTCCATTACTCACACTGCGAAGATGATGCATATCCGACACGAATAATGCCAATTGCAGGTTCACTTGCCAATTTACGCTTGTTTTAGGGCTCTGGATTGTTTCTGTTTCCCCACCTAACTTCCTGCTGCATTAGAAATGAACTGCAACTTTTTCCGTATATGGAAAAAGGCTTGTAACCATTTCGCGCCGTTTCTTGTTCCGCGGTTGTCGGATTCTTGAAACATGAATTCCCCTTTATAATTCCAAATAGAAAAATCCGAAGACCTAGCCTGTGAGATGACTCAGTCATTTCGTACATGCTCCTCAATCACCAATCATGCAAAAACCATCATATATATATATATATATATATATATATATTAATATATACATATATATACTTGTACTGTCTGCCCTCATTAGTTCTGGTCCCCCAGTTCAGTTCTTGACCACCGGCGGATGCACGCAGTACACGTAGCTGCTACTGTTGGGTGATTTGTTCCAGATAGCTGATGCGTTCCTCATGCATCGTTCCCGTTTTGATATTTTAGAGAAGGATGAGCGTTACCATTGATCCGCGCGCGCTCTCAACTGGTGCCTACTCAGTTCTGAACCCACGGGTTCCGGAAACGTCTCCTATCCGTTGCTGAAACTATCTGTATCCGCTACCTCAAGCCAGAACTTGTGTACAGAGGCCATTTGTGCGCCCCCTACTCTTACCGTGGCCCACATCTGTCGTTACGTGATGGTTTGGTTTGATTTGTACCTTAGTTACCATTTGATTGGTCGTGGAAAAGATGTACAGTCTACTACCTTCCATAACTATTGAGTTTAACATCCTAATTAATTTTCAGTCCAACTCGACACAGTTAACATGCGATCCCCGTTGTGAAAAAGCTTGAGTCTGATGAGTTTTGCCGAAAAGAATCCTTTACTCATAACTCCATGCTTTGGGTAGCTATTTTCTTTCCTCGCTTGCATTTTTAACCACGCTTTCGTATTTCCTTTGGCAAACTGTTTACATTTGCTTGTTAACCAGATTATCTTCCTACCTTTAGTCCCCTTCACCTTTCATGGCGCTCTGCGTAATTCAGCCAACTCACTTTTGCTGTTCTTCGGCCCTTTTGTCAGTCAACTTCAGCTTGATCGTATCTCTCATTTTACTCACCTTCAGGGATGGCTACATTCACGCTGGTCAGGTTGCTCCCACACAAGCAATCCTCCAACCGATGCAGCAAACTCTTCTAATGGATGCAAATGGCACCCCTCAACCGACCACTTTTGCTGTGCAAGCGAACGACGGAAGTCTCATACCCGTCCACTTGGCAGCGTCCGCCGGAGGAGGGCAGCTCATCATGTTCCTGCCAACTGCTGCTCAGCAAACCATGTACACCACGCAGTCACTGGTGTCTGGAACCGCCACCACTCTGGAAGCAAGCTTGACCCAGCCGCAGCAGGCTCAACTCATAGGAACCTCGGTGGAAGATGATAATCACGTTTTGCAACAACTTCAGCATGCTTCTCAAGTCCAGCTGATTCACCAGGCCCAGTCATCCACTCTTCCTCAGACCGTTTCCACAGCCCAGGTTGTCCAAGTCTCCAGTCCGAAGAGCGAAGGTGCCACTTCTCAAACGGTTGGTCCTGGACAAGCTCCGGCCAGCGTGTCTCCAGGCGTTACTCCCGGTGGAGAGGAACCGCTTTACGTGAACGCCAAGCAATATCATCGGATATTGAAACGAAGGCAGGCTCGTGCCAAACTAGAATCCCAAGGTCGAATCCCAAAGGAAAGGCAAAAGTACCTTCACGAATCTCGGCATAAGCACGCGATGAATCGAGTCCGAAGCTCGGGGGGTCGATTCTTCTCCCAACCGTCTTACGCAGAAACCAGTAACAGTACGGCATCTACTTCATCCACTAATTCCTCTTTCAGGCAGGTGAACGAATCAAAGGCCAAGCAGACTCCTTATTAAGATGTGAGTTTCATTTCGTTTCGTTTCTTTTGCTTTGCTTTGCTTTTCCTCTGTTCTATTCATCTTGCGGTTTTTTGTCACAATATTGGAACCATCTGATGCTGCATTGGAGTGTATCTTGAGCTTGAATCATCCACTCTGTTTGGAATGCAATCTTCACGTCGACTGGCTGCACCCAACCGACTGAAACCTCTTTTGGGAAGAGCACTTCCTAAAGACTATTAGCCTATTCCATATATACCAAAAATCAGACTTTTCTTGAAGCAGTTAGTTACCTTCAGAAACTTGAAAAACACGATAAGAAGACGAAGGCTGGTAGATGCACGCATTTCGTATTGTCTCAGTACCATTAACAATAACCGGTATGCAACTATATACTTAACTATGAGTGTGACCGAATAAGCAACATGGTCCGGCCAATACCTGCACTTCACTAGCTTCACACTAGTGCGGTACAAGCGGACCCTTGTGAAAACTTTAGTTAATCGTGCTAGACGAATTTGCTCGGCTGATTGTCTAGCCGACGAGCTAGAGTTGACTACAACACTCATCGCGAATGGTTATCCCCGTAGATTTATAGAGAAACACAACCAACAGCGAGGCCCGAAAGACTTGGTACATACGACAGCCAAGAAAAGGATCTATATCGAGCTGCCTTTCAAGGATGACTTTACTGTATCGAAAACCACGAAACGTACACACTCAAAATTTACTTGTTCGGAGCAAGCCTTGCGTGGGACACACAGCCTCATTTGGGACCGCGATTCACCGAGAAGTACCAAACGACATTCGCAGTGCCATAGCGTTTAGCAGTTGCACGCTGGCTTCGATGCTATCAGGGTGCCCAAACTGTAATCCCCCTCCCCCCCGAGCACAGCCATTGTAAGTTAGACATCTGGGCCACTATGTCATGGGCCCTCTTTTAAGGTATATCTCATCAGGAGAGTGTCCAAAAGCAGATACTTGTTGAGTTTTGCTTACTCAAAACTGTACGTGCCACGACCGATTTTTCACTCGTCAAGTAGCGATGGCAGGAGTTCGACTCCAACTGAACCCGAAGCCTCCTACCCCAAGTCGCGGCGGGCAGCACATATGACGGAGGTGAATGACTGATTCGAGGGACTTTTCGATTGCGATATACAATCATAACCTGGACCGGGATCCACTTTGAATTAAATCTCGATCCTTTAGATCACCAGTACCGAATTGTCGGTTTGCTTTATTTCAAAGGATTGTGGCCACGAGTCTAAATTTTACGCTTTAATATCACTTCGATCTCATTCTGTTGCGAGAAGCCAAGTTGTTGTCATCTTTCCATTCCAGGTCCGCTGGAGCACCACTTATCCCTCCTCAGTCCCCTATCTTTCATCTCGCTGTGAATCTTCACGGACTTGCGTACTCGGCACCCACTCGTTCTTCCCTCACATCGTTTGCAATACATCTGACTGCACAGCCATCTAAACATTTTTTCGACAACCGATCGTTTTATGAGTAAGGGGACGTTTTTATCATCATCACCGTCCGTGTCGCATTTCCAATTCCCTTCTTCTTCGTCTTCTACGCCGGCTACTCTTCAGCACTCTTGTCAAACACCTTCGTCCTTGGCACGTTCTCAACTGGCACTGGTCGGGTGTGTGCGTTGACCTTATGCGAGTTGAAGTTTTTGTACATTTTAAAAATTTTCACACTATCTGCCCCCCTCCCACATGTGTGTAAATAGTTCATTTTCCTTTTTTCATATGCCGCATACTTTCTTTTTCCTCCTTTGATGACGATACGAACAGAAAACACTACATGTTTTTCATTAACTTCCTTCTACTGAACTCCTTTCCGAGGTCCGTGGGTCCCCCCCCCTTGGCTGCCGTTGACGTCCTGTTTACTGTATTTGCACTTTGGGGCCACCCCCTGTTCATAACTCATAAGAGCAAGGTCATGGGTTTTTCATCCGGTGGATGCGCGCTACTGACCAGTCCGTCCCAATAGGATGAAACAACCGTCTAGCGATTTCTTGGATATGTGTGATGGCTGTCTGACTGAGCCTAGGCGCAACGAATCTTCTCAAAAACAATAGTTCCCCTTATTAATTCCTAAAAGCGTTGACTCTCGTTCAGTCAGCATCTGTTTGGTTACTCAGTGATTGACGCTTCACTAACTCGTCGCATCCACCGTTTCTCGTGTTTAGAGACTTTATCCCTTTTTGGGTCTGTTTCTACTTAGTGCACAGGAACGTGAAATGGAGGCTCATTGACTGGCTTGCAGACATTTCATCTTACTAGGTGGGTCAACATCATCGGTGTCGTTTCTTGGGCCTGGACCATAACATTTTACAAGACACTTCCAGGAACCATCATTAATCATCAACGGCATCAGTACATCAGTACAACCATCAGCAGTATGCCTGTGTATCGCACCTCTGCATTTCGCTGCCACACTACCACCAGCCATTGCCGAACGCTCGGGACACTGCGATCTTGTTCACACTTGGGCGCCTCACGCCAGGGACTTTTGAGTTACAAGGCAGACGTCTCATCATTTTGACCACTGGCCGAATTTGGAGCGTTGGAGTCAGTCGCTGTATGCCTTGGTTAGCGGGATGTTCTCTTTTGAGCTATGTGAGCGTTCTGCTTACTAAGCACCCACACACTCTAGGTGTCACACCAGCGGAAGCCTGATCGGACGCTTCTTGCTGTTTCACGATTACAGAGTGGCGCAATCAACAGTAGACATATTACGCATACTCTGAGATGCAATTTGTGCCTTTAAAATGCTTGTGCAAGACTACTAATCACTCGGATTAACTCCTTAAGTGGGTGGATGTATATTTCTCAATTGTGCGACTAGTTCTGCTTCAGGTAACAAATAGGGGAAAAAAGCTCTATGAACGATTTTGACATAGATCCAGCGACTTCAGACAATTGTTGATTACAAAGAACTAAATGTCCTTGATTAATTAGTCTTTCTTACTCTCTGCATATCCGTTAACGTGCGTGTTGTTTCTGATTTTAGTTCGAGTACAATGAAAACTAGCAATATCTTTATGACATCGAACCCTTTAGTACCAGAAGGTTATTCCGTGTAATCTCGCTGATTGCCAGTAGGACCACAGCGAGGGCCGTATTTTGCGAGGTCTTATTTTAGTCTCTTCGGTTTGTTAGTCAGAATCGTTTTTAGAGTCCACCATCGTTGCCCACGAGGTATCTGTGTAAAGCAAACGCTATTATTGGCGGTGATGATGAAGTCATTTCATTGGTCTAACAAAGACAACTGAATAAGCTAATTTGGGAGTAGATTCCTTTGGCCCGTCTCGTCTTCTGGAGCGAGGTCCACGGGACTCGATTCGAGTCCTCTCGTGACCGGCGCTAGTTGCGCGTCTGTCTTCTAGTCGAACTCCCTGTCCAAAGCATGTTTGATGTCGGGTCATATGTGGGCTTCGGTGTTGTGCATTTGTGGGACATATCTTACTCCTCCGAACAAATCGTGACTCATAGGATTGAGACTACACGATATGCTGTCTAGATTTGTCTAACTGCGTCGTGCATCTACAGGCTTCAGACGTCTCTTTATGTTCGCAGTCCTGACCATAGTGTCATTAGCCATAACTGTAGGGCAAGGTCGCTTATTGTCATCAGGTGGTTAAGGAACTTGTTTCCGTCTCGTCCTCACGTGATAAACGGTTTGCCATAGTCCGTTATCACGATACTACTAATCATGATAATAGCAGTAGTAATGTATACGTCTCGATAAAACGAACGACAAATCTCGTAGTGTGACAGCGTGTGCAGCGTTTAGGATGCCGGAATTTATCCTTTCACAACTGAGTTCTGTACTGTTGACTAGTGGTATAGTCTCAGAGGTGAATATTTGACCATCGATTCCCTCGATGTCATTCACGAGAATAGTAACAAAGTGAACAGGAGCTGTAAAAAGGAATAATTCGATGAGAGGATAAAGTATTTCTCGCAATGGACGAACTTTGTGTAAAATAATACCAAACTATAGTAACCCGGTGTTATGATCCTAACTTGGGTTAAAACTTTGCGTGATTCCACAGAACTCATTTGAGGAGCGCGGAGGCACAAATGTCTCATGGAAACGGTCTTCATTGGTATCGTTGATCACAATGAATCAAGCATCAGCGCTTAAGTGAATTGAGCAAGAGAAGCATTGAGTTTAGATTGGACTAAGTAACGGAAGAGAGTAGAAAATTGTGTAACCATTGCCTTGTGTACTCATATGTCTCAGAAATGAGTATCGCAAGCGAAGGATAGTGGAATGAATGGTACTAGTTATGAATCAGGTTGTGAGACGAGGGGACGATGTACAGCACATCTTATGATCTACATGAAGCAGTTAACCAGAAAACGTGTCATAGACGGTCGTCAAAATCTGCGTTGAAATTTGTAACGGGACAGAAGGGTTTACGAGTAGGAGATGAATACGGTGGTGTACATAGAGAGAAAGAAGGCAACATAAATACGTCAGCACATCTTACCGAAGTTTCGCCTCCACGCGACCAACCACCATTACGTTTAGGCTGAACATACCCCGATCTTGTAAGCACCTACGCGGATCCGAACCAGAAATTTTCGGATTACAAAGCAGGCGGGGGTGATCCTTTCGGCTGCCGGCCGGCCGGCAAAGGGGGGCCAAATTGGTTATTTTTATCGCAAAGGTGCCTGAGACTTCACCACCTGTGATATGCATATTGTGCTGTTTTTGCCTGTTGTGGCAGACTTTGCGGCGGGTATTCATTCTAACTTTTGTATCAATCCGGGTCCGATTCTGTGAGTTGAGCCGTTCGCCTGTGATGTTCTAACTGTTCCTGTCACTTTTGCTACGGTCACATAAGCGGGAGGTACTCTATGGAATTTCCTAGCCAAAACAATCCCTCATATCTGCTTGGGAAACCCACTTCGCAATTCACCGCAACGATTTAGGAAAAAGGTTCCCACCAGTGCTGCATTTCTGCTATTTCCACTATCGTATTTTGCTATCCCTTTCAGTCTTAAATCTAGGTAAAAGGAGTATGCGGTGTTTCTGATGGTGTCAAACAAAATACACACGTTCGTTTTCATGTGGTGCGGCCAGATCGGATCAAACTGTGGTGCACGACAGCGATCCATGCTTGACCTGGCTGTTAGCCCTAGGGGCCGTTTAGTTACTGGCCTTGACACTAGTTCTAAAAGATTCGATCACATGGTGTGGATAACACCACACCATTTTTGCTCAATTCCGTCGTGTGGTTATTCCCTTGCGGAATCTCATGATGCAAGTGTTGTGGTGCCGCATGGTGGAAAGCCGGTTGGTCTTCATTATGCGGACGATATTGTCTTGCTGTTTAACGATGTTGTGATAACCTAGTCAACCCTGAATAATCTCTCAAGAGTGATGCAACCATTTGACATGCGGTTCACACTTTCAAAGTGCAAAGTGTTGTTATAAGACCACCAGCCACTTGATGACCTCTCGACTCTGGATAACGAGGAACTCGAGGTAGTTGATCAATTCACTTATCTTGGCAGCTGCATCAGCAACGATGGACCTATAAGATCTGGATTCATTTCACGTAGTGCATAAGTCAGAACTGCCTTTTGGAACCTGCGACATTTTTAGCACCAGGAAGGGGGTTCCCTCAGTCTGAAAGGCGACAGTAAGGGCTTCTTCTTCTTCTGAGGCACTTTCAAATCTTTGATCATCGCTGTCTGCGGAGCATTGCTGGTGTCGGGTGGCACCATCGTGTCCGCAACGATGATTTGCGTAGGCGAGTGCTAGGCAGTGATTATCATGCTGGTTCCTTAGAGAAGCAGGTAGAACTGAATGTTCCCTAGGGTTGGCTACGTATTGCGGATGCTCGATCACCGCTTACCGAGGAGGGTCTTGTTTAGTCAGTCTGAGGTAGGGTGGCACAAGGCTCGGAGGTGGAAAAACTTGACTTGACAACGGGAAATGAAGCCACTGACGACCAAACTGGATGCCTTCGGCACGTCCCGTTTTCTGCGATGGAGCCCACGTGACTCGCCTGTTGCTTGGCTCGATACTTTATAGGACGTAGCTTGCATTGGACACCACTGGCGCGTCTGCTAGTCGGGCTGCCTGTTCAAAGTGTGTTTGGTGCTGAGTTATCTGTGGGGTAAAGGCTGATTATGACACGGGGCAGTGAGAGCCGCAAGGAAGCTGCTTAGCTGATGCCGCCCTATCTTTGCACGATAGCCAGCTGTTTGTGACATTATGTTGTTGACACAAGGTGCAAACGCTTTGACTCTGGATGTTAGCTTAGGGCATCAACGTTTTCCGGTGAGTCCCCCTTCTCTCCATTTTATTATTCTTCCTTCCTTAGGTCATGGTGGTTGTACGGTAGTGAAGCATCTGTTCAAACATAATGCTTTTGATGATGATGGTAACACCACATACACACCCTTGATCGCTATGGGACCAATCACTTAGCTTGGTCACAAACCATCTTAGGCTTTGAGCTTGTACCCTGGTTTTCATTTGTGTCATTCACTAGTGGTGTTCTATCTTGATGATGAACCACTGAAAATGAGCTTGTTTGTTAACATTTGTTTTTGAGATTTGATATCACTGCTTCCGGAATTACCCCTATACTATTGATCCGTTTTAAAAACCGTGACGTATTACTATTTTGTTCAACGGCGTTTATTGAGCCTTTCAAAGTGAATGCGTTAACGAGGGAAACCCGACAATCATTCGGTATTTGGCTGTGGCATGTTTTGCGAAGTTTACGCACTTCGATTAGTGAATTTCTGAATTGCGAGTCACATGACAATGGGATAATGATTTGCTGG